GGTGTGTGTGTGTGTGTGTGTGTGTGTGTGTGTGTGTGTGTGTGTGTGTGTGTGTGTAGGGGATGAATCTAATTCCAGGGCTTCCACTGGCCTGCTAAGTGGGGAGCTCTCTCTCTGTCTCACACACACACACACACACACACACACACACAAAATCATTCGTACCCCCCCTCACACAGCCTGCACCTTCCCCCCAACCCCACCCTGCCTCTCCCAGCCACCCCACCCCCCTGAACAGTTGCCCCCAAACTCAGCCCAGACCCTCCAAACCCTCACCCCCAAACTCAGAACCCCCAAACCTCCCGCCCACTGCTCCTCAACCCTGCTCCCCCAAACACCAGCCCAGGCTGAGCCCCAAACCCTGCCCCTTAGAAACAAAATGATTCTGATGTCGCTGATACAAAGGGGGGCCCACGGATCCCCCCCACCAGCCCCCACTCCCCTCCCAGAGCCGGGGAGAGAACCCAGGAGTCCTGGCGCCCAGCCCCCCTGCTCTAACCACCAGCCCCCACTCCCCTCCCAGAGCTATGGAAAGAACCCAGGCGTCCGGGCTCCCCCACCCTGCCCTTGCCTCGTATCCATTGCGTTTCTTGAGCCGCTTCTTGTTGAGTTTCTTGTTGGCGTACATCTTGCCAGTGGCCTTCATCTGGCAGGCGCAGACCTCGCCAAACCCGCCTTTGCCCAGCACCCGGAAGTCCAGGAACCACTCCTCACTCACGCTCTGCCCCTCCAGCCACTTGAACTGGAGGAAGCGGGAGAAGAACAAACTGTCCTTGTACTTGGCCAAAGCCCGCTCTTCTAGGTGCTTGAGGAGCTGCCGCTCGGTCTCCTGGAAGAGATCCGCCCGCCCGTGCTTGGCGTCCTCCTTGACCCTCATGACGGCCTTCTCCTCCAGGAAGGCGCAGAAGGTCTTGGAGGCCGAGTCGAAGAACCGGTTGACAGTCTTCTGGGCCTTCTGGGGCCTCTCGCTCTCCTCGGCCGCGGCGTAGTCCTCCACGCTCTTCCAGAGCCCGCCGGCCGCCGCGAAGGCCTCCTGCTCCTCCAGGAACTGCTGGAAGAGCCGCTTCCCGATGGGCTGCCGGAGGCAGATGCTCTGGAAGTCCAGGTCCAGCTGGGTCCGCAGCGGCTCGCACTGCGTGATGTGGGGCAGCTTCAGCTTGGCTCGCATCTTCTTGTCCCGCAAGGTGGAGGCTGCGCTGGCGTCCGCGCTGCCCCGGGCCGACACGTAGGCTGAGTTGGCCACCACCGTCTCCAGGCCGCCGATGTCCATGGCGGTGGCGGGGCACCTGGGCGGGTGAGGAAGCCAGGAGCGTGAGAGGTGCGGGGGGGGAACGACGGGGGGTGGAGGGGGGAAAGCCGCACCTCTGGGCACATCTGGAGACCTCATCTCAGCTGGTCCCTGAGGGATCTGAGCAAGCGTCCCAAGATGGGCACATCTGGACATGTAGCCACACCCACCGCTTACATCTGGGCATGGCCACAGGACCCCCCAGATGGCCGCAGGACCCCCCCCAGATGGCTGCAGGTTCCCCCCAGACATCTGGAGAGGTGGCCTCCACGGGGCCTCAGCTCCCCCACACATCTGGACACCCCTCCTGCACATCTGGACAGCCTGATCCATCTCTACTCCCATCTCCGGAGAGCCCCCCCCTCCCTGGGGCCAAGGGCTCCCCACACATCTGGGCCCAAGTGGGGCTGGCCCTCCCCGTCCCCCCACAAGTCCCACCCCAGTGGGGACAGCCGTCCCAGCTGTGCATGGGGGCTCCCCCCCTGCCACAGCTGGACAGGCTACGCTTGTGTTTGCACGCCCGTTTGCACGAGCATTTGTGTTGAGGGAAAGCGTACGTGTGCCCCGGCTCGGCAAGGCACATATGGCTTGATCAATAGACTTGTTTTGCTCAGGTGGGCGCGCGTGGGTACGCGCATGGTTTCTGGGGCTGTGTGTGTGCTCACACGCGCCCGGGTTTGCATGGCGAGTATTTCCGTAGGTGTGTGTCGTTTGCACGTGAGATTGTGTATGTGTGTGTGTGGAGTGTTGGCGTCTTTCCCTATGGGTCCGCAGGTCTGTATGCACACGCACACAGCCTGTGTTTGCACACTCATGCATGCTGGTGTTTGCACCCTCGTGTGTTTGTGCACGTGTGTTAGCGCGTATCCGGGTTTGCAGGGCACAGGTTTCTGAAGGAGTGTGCTTGGCTTGAGTGTGTGTGTGTGTCCGTGTGAGGACACACTTGTGCGCAGTATGGAGCTAGTTACGGAGTTTGTGCACACACCCGGGCACGGATCTACTCAGCCACAACGAAGGCTGGGTTGTGGGGGGAGGGAACGTGGGGGGGTGACTGGCCCCAGCGCTCCCAGAATTCCCTGTGTCCTGGCCAGCCCCCCGGCTCTGGGTGTCACCCGGGGACCTGGCCGATCTCATGGGGGGGAGGGAGGGGCTCCAAAGCTCTGTTAATCTGTGCGGCGTGTAAGCCGATTTCATGGCCACAAGTGCGACTCACACTAGGGCCCCCCCTCCCCTGGCCAGAGGGCACGGGGGTGTCATGTCAGCGGGGGCCCGGAGCAGCATTGTCGTCCCCCCCGCACCCCACAAGGCAGCGATAACATTATGGGGTATCTCTCAAAACCCCGTGTAATCCCTCCCAGAGTCCTTTGCACCATAGCCTCCCCATCCACCCCCTCACAGCTACCCCCCTCCTGC